CAACGCAACAGAAAACTGCTTGTTGTAGTTAAAATATTCGCTTCCAGTGTTAGCGGGTGCTTGCACTGCAACATGCTTCCCGTCCAGGGCTGCCACACAATTCGGGAAGTGCCATTTCTAGCGAAATTGTTCTTCGCTAGCCCTCCACGCTCCTCAGGTTGTTGCTGGCAGGTACACGGGACCAAGCTCCTCCACGATGGCATGGCAGATGTCGTACACTATGGCGCGGCACGTAGACCCGCCCCAGCGATAGGTCGGAGCCAAGGCCGAAAACTATGCTGGACGCCAGGCAGCGCAGGGCGACGGCGACCCGCCGCTGCGCGCCGGCCGGTGCGCGGGAGCTGATTCGCTGGCGGGGGAATGCGGTGCTCGATTGGGGCTCGGAGCAGTCAAATCCCAGCCTGGACAGACAAAAATGTTGAACGTGCCCCTGCGCATCGCCGAGTCGCATCTCTGGCACCGGGTTTGAAAACTCACCCAGCGAGTGCTGTTTATGAACGACGTCGTTCGCCCCCTCCCAGCGGCCTGAAGCAGCCTGTCCTCCGGCTTGCAGTCTGACTTGTAACTGGAGTGACGCCAGCAGAAGACGCACGAAACGGGCGTTTGGCGCGGTAAAGCGCTTGGCACGAGGACTCATGGCCTAAAAACTGATGTAAAACGTTTCAAAAGGCTGCTGCGACACGCAAATACTTGTTGACATCGAAAAACCTTGCCGATTGTTTTATGTCACGAACATGTACGAAATATACTGCAATTTCCTTGATTTAAGCTGTGGCCTCATGCAATTTCATCACTTTGTCACAACGTACACCACCTGAAGCGCTTCAGTTATTTCAGGTATCACGTTGAATCATTTCCGTGATAGCATGGCAGAAAAATGTTACATTTCACTGTTGTTTTCAGGAATTCGGAAAGTCCTGGAATATCACGAAGAAACGCCCATAAAATCTAGCAGCGATTTCGTCGATAAAAATCGCCGCTACAGGCCGAGATACCAGCGCTGTCGCCGGCCGAATGGGCAGTGTGCGGCCGCCTTAAGTCTTGTATCTGGGAGGGTATCACTTGTACTGTAACAACTTTCATCTCGAGTAGCACGGCTCAGCCTGGCCGCCAAGCTTCCAAGAAGCCTATATTTCTGTAATCATTGATTGCACGTTCATAAAGCTTTCAGCCACGTGGAATGCTATTCTACAAATGTTGTGCCGCATAATCTATGAGCGCGGACACGCAAGTTGCCTGATTTTGCTTTACCTTTTCACAGGGACTTCACTATAGTATTGTAAATCATCACGATTCTATCTCCCCCATTCGCTTTACAAGGAAAAGGCAACATTTTAATCTTGCTAAGAGCCTGATCATGAAGCGAAATTGGGTCTAAATCTCGCTGGCCGAGCGCAGCAGGGATAAAAAATTCTGACGGAAGACAAAAACGGACAGGTGTAATGAAAAGTGTGGATCAGTGGGTACAGGCGGGACACGCCGCACGCACCAAGGAACACCCTCGCGTCTTGCGGCGCTTTTGTCAAATTCATGCCAGACCTCAGCAGGAAGAGCAGAGGAAGACGTAAACCCAACAGCGCGATACAGGCGGAAGTACCGGCTACAACTCGCCGACGGATCTCAAACCTATCTGACCCGTAAGTGCGCCGGTAACCAACCGGAAAATGCCAAAGTCAAAAAAGATTTCGTGTTAAATATGCTCAACGCTATGGCCTCAGCCGAAATGTTAAGCTAAGAATATCACAGCGGCTTGTAGCAATATTTATTATGACCGATATCCACACTACATTTTTGCGGTTTTTGGCAAAAATCGTAAAAAGTTCATCGATTTCGCCGACTTCACCGATCAGCCCTGACAATAGTAGTAGCCAGTCGCTTTTCGAGCATTTATTCGTGCATTCGTTTACGAATCTCACGTCAGCTACTTCATTTTGTCCACCCCTCGTGAACAAAAGTCTTTCCATGGCATTGCTCCAACCCATCGGCATCGTTTACTTAAATGCCTGATTATTAGCTCAGCTTTTGACATCTACACAAATCTCTTATGAGCTTGGTGGTGTCAAGTAACACAACTATGCGCCTCATTTGGCGCCGTCATTGGAGACACCTGCGCGCACCGTTATTCCCCAATCGACACTGCCGAAGACCTCTCCGAAATGCTTCGGCATGACACCACCGGGAGCAGTTTCCTGGATACGACTGTTCTTCACAATGCCAGCTTTTTTGGTGGAAGGGGGGGGGAGAAGCAACGTTTCCAACGCGAACTTTATCGGTTATCTTGGCAGTCGTAACGGTAAGAATTTGAGATACCTGCGGTTTACCACACAAATCAAGCATTTCCTACCCAATATATCCGCCTACGTCAGGTTCGTAAGAAACCTTTTCGACGCACCATCCATAAAAAAATAAACCGCATTGTCAACGACAACGAACCAATCGACGCCTCGTACAGAAGGAAGTCAATTCCCGCATTACCTCGGAACGACACGCGACCAGTATCGACCCCCGCCCCAATTGGTTCCGTGTTCCGTGACGTCACCGAGACTCCATCGCCCACAGCGGCCTGATTACGGGACAGGGCGCCAGCTTCCGGCGGGAGACGTCCAGCCCCACCGGCGGGCAGGGCGGCGCGTCTATCGCCTACTTCCGTCCGCGTCAGAGACCACCGAAGGAGCCAACATCTCGCCTACGCCAGTGTGACTTCTGCGGCCGTGCGGGAGCCGCCAGTGTTGCCTTGAGTCGACGACAGAGCCGACCCGCGCGGCCGAGGCCGACGGTTCGGGTCCCGCCCCCGGCAGCGAGAGCTCCGCTTCAGCCGGAGCACGCCGGCTCCGCTCCGCTGCGGCGGCAGCGATCCCCATGGCCGACCGCCGCCGCCCCTAGCGCCGAGAGCTCCGATTCAGCCGGATCACGCCGGCTCCGGTCCGCTGCGGCGGCGGCGGTGGTGATCCCCATGGCCGACCGCTGCCGCCCTGGCACCGAGAGCTCCGCTTCAGCCGGATCACGCCGGCTCCGCTCCGCTGCGGCGGCGGCAGCAGCGATCCCCATGGCCGACCGCCGCCGCCCCTGGCAGCGGCGTCTGTTTCCTGGGAGCTGCAGCTGGCCAGCCAGCCAGCCCGGCGGCCGGGCCGACGGCGGCGACGGGCGATCGATGGTCGGCAGCCTCGCCGGTCAGACGCAGACGGCGGTCAGGTGGGCAGGCCACCGCCGCCACCGGCTCGCGGCGGTGGCGGCGCCAGCCAGCGGCAGACGCCCACCGGACGGGGCGCGGCACCTCGCGGGCGCGGGCTGCTGCTGTGGATTAGGGTAGCGTGGCGGCCAATCAGGCGCGGCTACTGAATGCTGATGTGGTTCTGCAAAGACAGCTGCTAGGCCATGAGAACACCGGCCTACAGTGGCATATCTGACCATTGTAACGCTCAGCGTGTTCCCCTTATCGTGATCGGGCATGGCTTTATGTGTCGCGATAAAGTAGCTCCTGTAATGGACTTTTGACACTTAGCTGGGCGAACCATTACTTGGGTTGGGTGTGTGATTGAGAAGCAATAACCAATGGAAGCCCTTGGGAGGAGGAACTTCCGTCTCGAGCCGGGTGCTTCCAGCTCCCTGCTCTGGAAAAGTAGCCGCTGGAACAAGGTACGAGTTTCGGACATCCCAGCCGAGCGTATCGCCCCAGCGCTGACGGCGGCGGGACAGCCCCGCGACCGTCGTCATCACGGTGAACCACCCCGGACTGGCGATCGGCGGCCCGCCGAGACCACGGCTCGGTGATGGCCGGCGCGCCCATGTCGCTGGCCCCAATCGGCCGGTTGCGGGACACTTGTAACGCGTCGCCGGAAGCAGCTGGGGGTGCGAGGACGGCTGGCCGGATCGGACGCGTGCTGGCACGTCAACTGCCTGTCACGCCACGCGCTAACGAGGCGGCGGCCGCACGAGAGCGGGGCCAGCCGGGGGCAGCTGTGCTATGAAACCGGGAATCGGACGACACGCGCGCTGGGTGTCAGAAGACCACGAGGCTCTAAAAGCAGTTTATATTTATGCATCGAAATGAGGGACACGCGTTGGCACGAGGCCTGAGACTAGCGGGCGGGGCGGGGCGGGGGGGGGGGGGGGGCGAGGGAGGGAGCAGGCATGGTGAAGACTACGGACACCCTACGGGTGACATAGGGCAAGAACGTCTAGTAGAACCATTGGCGGCCTTTCCATTCATCTCGGGGGCCAAAAACGCCAGGACATTGCACTCATCAGGGGAGTGAACAAGGGGTGCGGGGGGGGGGCAGCGGTCCCCGTAAAATAGCACTAGACTGAAGCATATCCGCGTGCGGGCTGTGGCAATGACGGGGGGCGGCGATGAGTGGCCAGCAGGGTCACCGCCAGGGCCTCCGCCGCCACCTGGCTGACTACACCAGCAGCCCAACCTGACGCCGCGCTCTTCACCCCGCTCTGCAGGCCACACGGAAAACACCGGCGGGAAGGGCGCCGCACGGAGACCATGAGCTTAAGGCTGCCGAGGGTAGACGGCGGAGCTCAGCCCTGAGCGGCAGCCCTGAGACTGCGCACGAGCCCGGCCTCCGCCGGCGCCACGGCCCCCGAGACCGACCCGCAGCGGGGCCGGCGTCCGGCGCGCCACCTCCAGTTCCGGCGGGCTGCGAGCAGCCACACATCACCGGCCGCCGCCGGCGCCTCTTTGTATCTAAACATGTCAACGCTGGCCGCAAAGGTCGGCCGGCGTGACGGCGCGGCAAGCGACGCCGGCGGTGAGAGCACCGCTCCAACGCGGAACCCCTGGACAACGCCGAACACTGCGCTGGAACACACGCGGAACCCCTGGCCAACGCCGAGCACTGCGCTGGAACACGCGCGGAACCCCCGGCCAACGCCGAACACTGCGCTGGAACATACGCGGAACCCTCGGCCAACGCCGAACACTGCGCTGGACGGAGCATGAAACCCTGACTGGACTCTGAAGGCTGGGCAGCGCGCCCCTCGCGGGCACTCACCGTGATGCGTGTGGTGCACCGAATCGACATCGCCGTCGACCACGTAATCTTCGTCCTCGTCGTAGATGTAGTCTTCGTCGTAGTCGTAGTCGTCATCGTCGCCGTAGCCGCTGCCGTACTGGAGGTCGGGGTAGTTGTGCGCGACGCTGCCGTAGTCGGGCTGCTGGTCGACGTGCATCACGGTCCCGTACACGCCGCCGCCGGCCTCGGGCGGTGGCGGGTCAGGGCGGCCGGCCGGCGCCGCCAGCGAGCGGCCCGAGCCCTCGCGCGCGAACATGAAGTCCTCGTCATCGGCCGGCGGCCTCTGCGATAAGGGAAGGGGGGGGGGGGGGTTAATGTCAGCGATGGCCGGAGTGCGGCTAATGGTGGACAGATGGGTGAAAGGTTCGTGGGAGAAATGATGGGAATCAGGGCCAGTGAACATGAGCAATAGAAGCTATGCAGCAGCATGACTGACAAATGAAGGGGAAATGGGACACACTTTGCTGATGACATGGTGTGTGATGATGAAATAAGAATAGGCAAATGCAGCAAATTCATAAAAACTGTGGAGATGCTGTGCTCTCATAGTCCACCAAAAAAGAAGGCCTGAATGAGATGGTTGAATAGCATGCACCCATGGCGTATTTCATTGCTCAAAGATGTGCTAAACATTAATCGATGAATCAAATCAAAGTAATACATTGTTTGACTCGCAACCCGAATTTCTTTGCTGGTATGGTCCCACGAGAAAATAAAATCAGGTAACAGAATGCTTTTTTGGTGCGACATCCTAGTTTCAGAACATAAGTTTAGCTATTAAATGGAATTTCCGACCCTTTATAACAGAAAACACAAGTTTTGCTTGGACATATTTTGACTCGGATTCCGTCCTGAAAATAACTTATCGCTATCACTCCAAACCACTATCCAGCTGTTGAACTGAATATTTCACGGACTCATTCTGCCGTAGGCCCTTATCAGAATAGCACGGAAGGACCTTCCCCGCGTCATGCACTTATACTACTCTCGGCGCACTATGATCAGGCTGACGCTGTCAAGTCAGCAGTCCAAATGGCCCTCTTCGGCGAGCCCTATACGAACGCTTGTTCTGGAAGGGTACACTACACGTTTCACCACATCACAGATGTGGTCAGCATAACTTCAGTTGAGCTCAGCTCTACCAAAGTTGGGCTTCGGCAACGACGATTGGCGTGTCTTCGCAGCAATATAGCTTTTGCGAACATTTTGTGCGTTGCAGCCAACGGATTTACAGGAAGGCAATGCCTGTTAACCACCACATCACTGACTTTTCCCTAAGATATCACCTGTCACCTAGACATCAACCATGAACAGTCAAACTCAGATAGATGCATGCTACCATTGATAATAACCTTGCTGTTATATATATATATATATATATATATATATATATATATATATATATATATATATACAGTGTTCGAGAGCTTGACGTTTCATGATATAATGTATGCCACGAGATTTTGATTCCAGGATTAAGACTAGGTAAGATGAAATTTTTTTGTATTCCATTATGATGCAGCAAAAACAACTTTTGGAAAAACTCATTTTACCATCTTTGTGTCAGGACAAAATAAAACCGGAAGGTGCAACAGCTTGAGAATTGCTGCTTCCATCAGGAGCCATGTACTGATATCCGCAAAAACACAAATCTTACACCCACCAGACTAAGATGCCCAATAGCAAGCAGCCTGTGTTGCCACCTAGGTATATGATAAACCATGTATGAAAATGTGAAAAATAAAGAGTGTGAATGTTGAATGGAATCGCCTACGAACAAAACCGGGAAATGAGAAAGGAGTACCAGAATCGCACCCGTCTGTAGATTAGCAAAACTCTCACTTCCTATGTTCGCAGACCAACTCAAACTTAAACATGACTTAACCTACCATTGACGACGAACCGCATTCATTGCCAAGGATGCAACGAACAGTCATAGAAAACCACACGCCCAATCACCTACCACAAACGGCCACCTACTCACGCAACACCACTGTGTCATGGGAATGCAAATAAAAGAATCACTCGCAATTCAGCGTCGGAAACGTCCCAACTATTCAGCGGATTGCGCCCGCCTCCCAGCTCCGGTTGGAGGATTGAACATAGCAAAACTCTCCAATTGGTTTTAATGATTCGCCTCCTCGTGACTGATTTGACAAGAGCATAGATATTCTGCTGGCGCTCATGCCTTGAACAGATTTGTAAACATTTCGAGGGACGCTCTATAGAGATGGGCATCACGATTCTGAAGAAAGACTTATTTGTCCTCACCCAGAACCGCCATGTGGTTGCATTTTTGGCCACTTCCTGGTATCCGGAGTGCAAAAATGTTACGGCAGCTATGAATTTAAACCAAGTTAAATTTGTCACTTATGGGTGTGAAATTGAAGCTGGCAATTCGGGTTTTACAAAAATACCCTTTTTAAGTCGAAAAGCTTTGTTATAAATAGCCAAAAAACTGTTCGGAGAGGGCCATCTCACTCCGGCAAAAACACCAGGACACCAGAGTAACATGAACCCATAACTTTGGCCCGGCAAAGTAAGGAGAAGGCTTCGTTAGTACAGAAACATCAGTTGATTGCAACATAAATTATCATATTTCGCAATGATATCGGTTACAGCGCATCAAAATCCATTAAGACATTGCTTGATCCACCGAAGTAAGCGCAGTGACTGACTCCGATCCCTTTTGGCCGGCCTGCGCGGGTCGTCAGGCATTGTACTTGCGCTGGCTCGGTAAATCGGTTGAGAGTGCTGCCTGTCTCTATTGTTCAGGTGGGACGTGCAGGGCCTCGTGTGTTGACCGGGAATTGGAAGGTGGACATGAATATTTAGTTGTTTTTAAAACCAGTTAGCTGGTAGGGCGTGAGTAGCGTGACCGTCGTGGAGCGTGAGTAGCGTGACCGTCGTGGAGCATGAGTAGGTGGCCGTCAGTGGCATGTTCTTCCGCATTTTTTGTGTACCATTTTTCTCTGGCTGTGCGTATCCTGCCCATCCTCCATTTTGGAGGGTGTACAAGCCTGGTGTGAAGCCACCCGCCATTTTGGAGAGTGTCGAAGCTCGGTGTGTAATTATCCTCTATTTTGGAGGGTGTATGCACAGAGCCTTTCATAAACTGCAAACCCATGTATATGCACATGTGTTTCATGGTACCGAGTATGAGACTGTGTTGTTTCAGTGTGCCATGTTTAAAACTGATGTTCCCTTTCATTTAAAGTGCTTTTACATGAATTGTTGTATATGAAAAAGTGACGCCACCATCTGTTTATCTCTCGATCTCTCTCTTCTCGCAGCTATTCTATCTATCTCGCCGGAGTATCAAACTATCTCTTCCACAAGACTCCACGAGCGATATTAGATATATCTCTCTCTCTCTCTCTCTCTCTCTCTCTCTCTCTCTCTCTCTCTCTCTCTCTCTTTCTCTCTCCTCTCTCTCCTCGTCTCTCTCTCTCTCTCTCTCTCTCTTCCTATCTCTCTCTCTCATTCTCTCCTTCTCTCTCCTCTCTCTCTCTCTCTCTCCTCTCTTCTCTCTCTCTCTCTCTCTCTCTCTCTCTCTCTCTCTCTCTCTCTCTCTCTCTCCTCCTATCTCTTCTCTCCTCTCTCTCCTCATCTCTTCTATCTCTCTCTCTCTCTTTACACCTCAGGCAGGCAAGACAGGCAAGTTTGAGTTTGATTTGGAATCTTGTGGTCATGATGTTTTAAAAAGTTTAGCTGCGTTCTTTTACGATTTCCAGGGAATTCAAAGATTTGGGTCTAAATAAAGCTGTCAGACTGCAAAGAAGAAGTGTATCACAATGTGCGGCGAAAAACGTCATCATTTAGCAATTCGCAATCATACATGTCGGTGAAATTTAATTGGTGGGTTGGTGTGTTACTAATTCGTAGTGCTAGCCCATATGGCTATCAAGATTCCTTACAACATGTGGCACATATCCATTTCACGGACATTTACGCACGCCTCAAACAAGCACCAATTTATCGCGCGGACGGGTGGCCGGTTGACTGCGACACGCTCGGTAGGGGAGGGAGTTAACATGATCCTTGCCGCTAAATTCACAGGTTAGGAAGGCCTGTGTCTGAACTACTTGCGTCAAATTTTGAGATACACTTCGTCAAAATGCCTGTTGACCTTAGGATCAAATGAGGTCAAACTCCAGATCGGTGTCCGAAGTACATCCAGACCGCCTAACGCAACCGCCTTAACACAAGACACCCATTCCAAGCTAAAATTACGCTTGCGTCCCTTTCAGGTCACACCGGTTGGCGCAGATGCGCCGCACCGGTCGGAAAAAGGTTGATATTGATCATTTTACGTCAGTGACCTCCGCTGACCTGCAAGAAGTCCACATAAGACATCTGATGACGTCCGTGTGATCAAGAAATCCGACAGGAGCTTCAAAAACTACCTCTTACAGAACGTTCTTTAGTCAAAAAGCAGTTTGATTTTGACCTCGGTCCGACCCTCGTACTGACCCGAAATCAATGACATTAGTCCTAATCCTAATCTTAATTGGCTAATTGCATACGAAAGTATCTCATATATTTAAGGCTTCGTTTAAAGGGGTGTACAGCCTACGGGCATATTTAAGAAAAAACATACCATAGCGAAACATCAGGACTAGCTGCGCCTGCTAAAAACAGTGGGTAGTGCCACTGCAGCACCGATCGAGGCAAAGTAAATATATTATCTTAATTATTTGGAGTCCGAATTGCGCTGTGGACGCTCTGTGGCAGTATTACGCTCCTTCCTTACAGTCGCGACGACCCTCGTCATGACAACCAGCGCGCGCAAATCTACTGGCGCGAATAAACGAGCGTTTGTGATTGGCCCAGCAGGAAAGGGCGGAGAACCGCATTGGTTGAAGTTTCGACAAGTGCGTCGCATGTATCATGTGATGACCACATTTGCAAATCCAAAGTGCGCCTCGAAAAGAGCCACTGAAGACAACGCCATGGCGCAAACAAGGAGGGCAAGCAAAGCCATAGCATAACGTTTCATAGAATTCGCCGGGTAAAATCTTTATGCTTGCATATCGTTTTATGTAAACAGAGGGTTTCAAGCTTTCATAAAATGTATTACACAAATGTTTTGACACATCGCTGTGTTCCAAACACTACAGAACACACGCGTTGGAAAAAAAACATATCAAATTAAATTCATTTATTTCAAAGCGGTGAGGAGCGGTCCAATGAGATCTCTGCTGCAGGACTGACTACTTACAGTCAAAATTCTTGACTATTCATAAGGACTTCGAGAAGACTCATATTATTAATCAAATCACACGGGAGCGATGTAACAATGAGTGAAAAGTAAAAAGGTGGGGCGCTCCCTTCAATCTTACGTTGTCGCATCAGCTCGAACAGGTTCCAGAGAAAATTTTTGCTGGAATTCATGACCTGACTTCCACCTGCCATAGGTCAGCGACTTAACAATGTTTATCTAGCTTTCCACGCATAAAGACCCGTTATTCAATTGTCCACATGTATGCAAAGTTTGGCGCGGCGTAGCGGCGCCAAAACTTTGTCATTAATGTAACCGGTTGTTTACCTCCCGATGAAAACGTATGATTGTTGCGCATCGCTGTGCACCTACCCACGTTAGAATGGCTACCGGTCATAAAATATTTCGGAAGCCCTCGGGAGGGGAGTGGCCAAAGTGATTCCCGGCCCGAGCGCGTGTTAAAATAACAAAACACGTGGAAGTCCTATTAACCGCACACACGTTTTCTACCCCAGATTACAATACACTCATCTTCACAGTTTTGTTACAGCGCATTTCTAGGTATCCAACGAAAACTGTTCGCTTTTAAACTAAACCCCATACAAACATTGGTTAATGTCATTCTTGATGCCATGGCAAAAACTTGAATTTAAAATGTGGCACGGGGCCATAGCAAGTCCACATTTTTTGCGTACCACTCGCATGTCACAGAAAATATTTACTTAAATAAAGCAGCACATTTTGATGGGAGATGGGTGGAGCGCTGCGATCTAACTGACAGACAAAAAAGGACATTGGAGAAGGGTGTGTAATTTGGCCCGATGGCTTGGCCCCTAAAACCGGTAGCTACGTTTGTAAAGGCAGCTGGATGTTTAACATACGTCTCTATGCCTCCCCATAGAGACATATGTTTCTCGTATGTAGCTGCGCACCTACCAACACTAGAACCCTCTCTCCCTTTGTAACAAAAAGTCATGGTCGCCCTCACCACCAAATACAAATCACGATAACCGAGCAGATAAACAATGCTGTAATCTTTACATGCCTTGGGCCATTAGACAGGCGATGGTTTGTAAAAATTCACTGAAAAACTCTGGAGTACAGGAAGAATGCAAGTCTTTCATGGCTAACCCTCAACCAAGTTATAGTAAATACCCACAAACAAAATGTGTGCTGCCCCACTATGACTGCCATAGAAGAGCACCTTTTGCACCCAAAGGTGGCCTCTTAAGGGGCCCCTTCCCTTGTCAATTAGAAGAGGTGTGTACATCCAGTGCCTGTTCCCTGGATCTATCCCTGGATGACTTCTATGCTGCTCAAGTCAAGGACTTTCTATAAACTATATAAAAATTAAAGACATATCTTGCTTTTCATCAGAATGAAGCAGGCTAAATCTGATGAAAAAATGGGAAAGATTGTCTGCCTTTGAATTGGCCCCTCAATAATGTACAAACAATAACACCACTTACCTAACCTAACCTCCCCACCCTATCCCTCTTCAACCCAGCATCCCATTTGCATCCACGTTCCATCCCATACATCTAGTATATTTAGATGTTTTATTTAGCTGCCATGTTCTCATGTTGTTTTTTAACCCCACCCAATCCCCTCCTGATTGTTCATGGTGCCATGTCTTACAGCATATCAGTTGGTGGAAAACTTAACAATTCAGCTTTAGGTACCAATGTGAACAATGACCCAAAATAGGTATTGTATAGCTTGCAGAAAAGATTGACGGCTCCAGCATTATTCTGTCAGCTGCATGTGCTAGAAAAGCCAAGTATGGCAAAAGGACACTGGGAAAGAAGGATCTTACAATCATGTTGTTCAATGGCAGGCTCAGATGGATGTTTAATGAAAACAATTCCCCCATAGTTTGCTGAAATTTAATCCTAAAAATCATTTTGTTCCCATCAAACAAGTGTCAAAACCAAACTTACATTAAAGACAATGAATGACATGCATCGCTAACTTGTGTGGCCAATATTTAAAGACATACCTACTTAACATTTCCAGGAAAACTTCAGCCCAAAAACTGGGTTTATGTGGACACATTCATTTGAAAAGGAATTCCCTAGTGTTTTGTCTGCACTACCATCCTGGCCACTTGCATTACAAAACTTGTACCCAAAATCAGAGCAGTTTGAGTGGAGTGGAAAGAAAAAACAAAAGAAATTATACACATTAAATCCAGTGTGACAATATACATCATAGTGCAGGGGTACCTAACAAAAACTAATTCAATGAAGCACAGTACCAAAACCATCATAAGGACACCAAGAGCAAATCCAGCCTACATAAATTAAGTGGAACTTACCTGACAGTGGCTCAAAACGGCGCATCCCAGTACGAGGATGACGGGAATCGATATCCCGGAAACCATGGCTGATGAGCGCACACAGGATCAACCGAAGCAATCCTGACGAGCAGCGAACGTCTCTTTAATTCAAATTTACATAAATCCACGCTATGAATGATTTATCCACGGGCCCACCACCGTACTACCCCCGAACCCAGTGTCAGAAGCCGCAGCCGACACGACTGCCGCTGCGCACAAAAGCGACTGAAGCAAATGTACCATTAAGGAGTCTTTCTTGTGCTACCATATTGCAGAGGAAAAGTTATTTAATCACTTTGCATCCGGAACCTTACAAATCATTTTCGCTTTCAGCAGAGCAGACGATCTTTAGCCCCTCAAAGCATTCAACAATCGGCATATCAAATTCAAAATCAAACAGAAGTAAGAAACTGGGTACACTCAAACGACCAGTTCACTTTAAAAACTATGAATTATGCCTAGCTTCACAGTTTTGAACGACTGATGACTTTGGTTACACCAACCTACAGATGAAAATATAGCACAAAGATCTTAAAAGCAGAATAATTGTTAAGTAATGGCTTTTTTAAGCAACCACTTTCTGGATTATCGGGTGGAACCTCGTTAATTGTAATTAGTAGTCGCGTTTTCCACCTCAAACGACACTATTTGTCACGCATTCGCCACCGCTGCCTACGGAGGTTCAGCAAGTTTGCATACCCTTGTGCGTCCTGCCTCGGGTGGTGCATTTGTGAATTGCGAGGGCGGTGGGTGTCCGTGGTTTCGCCGTTGGTTCGGGTGGTAGTTCCAGTGTTCTGGGTTTCAACTTCTTATTAATTCGGTAAATATTTTCCTGATCACTTCAGGCTCATGGCCATATGCGCGTATTGGGCATCAGGTAGCGCGTAGAGACCTGCGCCTGAAAGGCGGACGTTGTACCGGTGTGGTTGTTACAATAGTGATATATTTGTTTTAGTTTGTGGCTTTACCATTTGTAGATTGGATTGACGTCTTGATCTTTATTTCAGCCCCTAGGTCAGAGATCAGCTTCTGTGATACACTTGACAAAAAACTTGATCATTCAAGGGAGCTGCATGTTTGGTGGCTCACAAAAAGCAAGAGTTTGTGATTGTTAACTGCCATATATTGAGCTTTAAGTAGTTAACCTTTTGTGGAGCAACAGAAAACTACCTTACACTTTTCTCTGTCATGGCTTCTTTAGGCTTCATGATGTACCATTCTTGCTTTCTTCTGGCATTGCACAGCTCATCTACAAATGTTAACATTTGTTTTGTTTTTCCACCTGTGAGCAGTTCTTTCCATACCTTTTATGTATTTTGTCTTGGGAGGACACATGATAAGACACATGAGGTCTCACTGAGACAACATCAAGAAACATTCAAATCTAACCATTTGTGTGTGTTGGAAATAAAAGATCAGATGTTGAATGAGGAGCTGGTGCATGAAACATGGATTCCCACCTCTGGAATTTATCAATAGCTTCTCATATTCATTTGCAGGAGCAGCTTTTATATGTCTTGTTGCATGCCATTAGAGTGTACTCTTGAGTCACCTAGCTAATAAAACCCAAAACTTACACTCACATATATAAGGATATAAAATACTGATGTAATATTTTAATAACATAATATCATGCTGACAAGATATTAGTAGATATACTTTAGAATATAAACTCATTTATTTAATCTTCACTGTATTGCCATCAGTATATTTATCATACTATATCATGATATGCATCCCACAAAATGGGAGATATTATGCTGTCAGTGAATGTTGCAAAAGTTTATTCATAAAGCTTATTTGGTTTTCAACTACCTATGCAATTAAATTAAGCCAATCCCACATATAAATATCTGATGCCTTCTTGCAGAATGCTGTGAATGTCTCAAATGTTCTCTGGTAACTAAAAGATGGCCTTGTAAGGTCACAGAGCCACAGCCTACCTGTACAATTATATTCTTCAAGCCAGATCAAGACAAAATGGACTCCTCCATTTAAAAAAGAAATAATTCACCCTGTAAAATACTGACTGTTTCACAGCATCTGTCACATCACCAGCATGGAAAGCTACTCACTTCAAGACCATGTGGGAATCAGTGAGAATGTTTTTGTTCCTGAGAACCAAAGGCAACTGTATAGAATTTTCTCTTTTATGAAGATGCTATAGAAAATAATGTTGTTGATCTGCTGAAAATAGAAATCTACTCCAGAAAGGATGGACAAAGCAATTAAAGTGAGAACTTTGTCTCAGTGTGATAAAACTTTTGCTGGTTCCTAGTGCAAAATGTAGTATTAATGGGACTTCACTCATAATGTGGGCACATCTGCTTATGAATTTGTACCCATGCTCTCAATTAATATTCTCAACTTTATAGTTTATTAAGAACCTTGAGTGCCAAAGTTAGAGTTTGGGTCTTGTCAATAATCATGATTCTTGTTTTCTGGATGCAACACATTCAGTGCCATCCTTCTGAATTCCTTTTTTGACAAAAATGTATAGAACCTATTATTATAAACTATAAGCTATAAAACCTTTTAAAACATATTCAACAAATATTCTTCATTTTGTGAGTGCATGTCATCCAGCATACTTAATCTACAACCTGACAAACACCCTGCATGCCTATGCTGATCAAATATGACAGATCAAGAAGCTGTTTTTATCTTGTGTACCTTAGCAATGACACCTTGCATTGGTCCATGAGTCCCAGATCTTCAATCTTACAAGATCCAGGACCATTTGTAAATGTATTCAAAGGAGCCTCTGACATGTGGATCTATCTCCAAATTTTCCTGAGGATTCTCATAAGATTTTATGATTTTCTTCTTCTCAAATTTTCCAAAATAATGATTGGTGGCAGTATTCAAGATCTTTTTCTATACTTTGTGAAAGGATCCTTTAAGGCCTGTGACCTCTTCCTAATTTGTCTCCGAAGTATCTGTTGCAATCTGGGAATTTTTGGCGGTGATCCAGGTGCTTGTCCACCTAAGACACAACTTACCCTATAAAGTTGTATGTTAAGTTCTCAGTTTTTGTCAGTCATCTTGCTGACTTGGCACCTGTCTAGTTCAGCCACCTGACATTGTGATGCCTTCCAGTAAAGACAATTTTCCTGCTTGTGCCAATTGCTAAATTACTTTGTTTATGGAATAATATGACTCCCAGCTTCCCAATGCCAATCAATACATACAAAGGTGATGCCTTGTGGCAACATGTTTTTCATTTGTATTATTGGCCTCTCTGGAACATACTAATGAAACACTGGAAAACTGGAAACTAGAGAAAAGACTGTCAAAGGATTATTTGGGTCAGTATCATACACAACTGTTGGATGTCCTTCAGTTGGCCATGTCCTGTAATGTTGCTCAAATGATCCAGCATCACTTTGGTAGCATGCAATGTGGAGTGGAGGTCAAACAATATGCCTTAAACATAATAAATTTGAAAAATACATGATTGCAGTTTTCATTGGATAACAGATAAACATAGACCTAGACATGTATCTGGGCCATCCACAATGAATGTGGGGCTATTACAGCCAGTAGGAAATAAAAGTTAATTACATGTCAACACAGGGCATCAAAGTTGAGCATACACACACAAATTCACATGTGCACACATGCAAATGGACCATTACACCTGTGGGGGAGGTGTAGGGATGAAAGATTGGCATCTAGTGCCTCACTGCTCACTCAGTATGACTCATTTTTTTGCTGGGCAGTCACCTGCGAATGAAATCGTTACTTCCACATCGCGATCCTTGATCAGGGCACATACAAGTCACCATCCTGTGTAGTGCTGGTCTCCCGAGCCTCTGCTGCGTGCGAAACGCAATGGCGAGGTCTCTGGTTCCCCATGTGACACACTGTGTTGCAGCACAGTGAGCACGTAATACCCCACCAAACACTCAGCATAGTGAGCACATAGTACCTCACCAAACACTCAGCGTAGTGAGCACATAGTACCTCACCAAACACTCTAGTACCTCACTAAACACTCAGCATAGTGAGCACGTAGTACCCCACCAAACACTGGGCGTAGTGGGCGCGTAGTACCCCACCAAACACTGAGTGTAGTGAGCACGTAGTACCTCACTAGACACTCAGCATAGTGAGTACGTAGTACCTCACTAAACACTCAGCATAGTGAGCAAATAGTACCTCACCGAATACTCATCTGGCAGCCTTGCCAAACTATGAAGCATGCCCAATAAGACGTGAACTTTTGTGTCCAAAGATAGGACAGTGTGGTTCGACCATTGTATCCTGACCATGTTGTTATGAGCATCATCACAATGCACTGACAGTCAAAAACACTGTATGAACCACATTTTCGGGTTTGCGGCAGATCAAGGTGTCTACCAGATAGGTGATAACGTGGGAAGGGGGAGAGGTGCTTCAGATGTGATGGACACGCCAACATGCCAACATAGCATTGAGTACAATGGCATATAGTCTCGCAAAGTGAGTTGGGGGTGCCTGTGCAGTAAGAAATGATGTAACCCGTCTCCCAATTTGGCCTACGAATGGGTTTCTCCACGGATTTGGTCCGCTTTCTTCTCAGAGATAGTGGGGGAGGCGGGCGGGGGGGGGGGGGGCACCCCAGGGGTGGGAGCTAAAGCTGCAAGCAGAATAGGAAACCACACCCCTGGTTGTATGACGAGAGTGTGGGGTGGGTGCGAGCAGACTAAATCAAGACTGCTCCCAAACAGGGATGAGATTGCGATCGCTAAGTTCGTAACTAAGATAAACTTGGGCTGACGTAGTAAGTACCACACATGCCTTGTTGAAGGTCCAACAACTGAGTTATGTCTGCGCTGGTCTTTAATTCCGCTAAACCTAAACTATAGATAAGACAGTACCAATAGCCTTACTCCTTGCAGGATAGCCAGGGGAATGGAGGGAAAGCAGTATTAATATTTCGGCTGCATACCTCCATCAAAATGAATATCAGTAGTAAATTTGAATTGTTTGAATTTACGACAGTACGACGATCGATCAGTAGTACGGTCAGTAGTAATCAGTAGATTAGTTAGTGGATTAATAGATTAAGTTAAGTAAAGTAAAGTAGTCAGTAGATCAGTAGTAGATCAGTAAATTTACGATCAGTAGTAAATTTGAATGTGCTTCTGATCTTTGTTTTGATGAAGGCGTGCGGCTGAAATGTTAATACATGTATCTCGTCATACTCCTGGCTATTCTAGGAAGACTGAGATTATTGCTACAGTCATCTATTTATCTATCTATCTTTATATACATATGATATTTATTATTTATATGATGTGATGTATATATATATATATATATATATGTATATATATATATATATATATATATATATATATATATATATATATATATATATATATATATATATATATATATATATATATATACTTACTGTCTGCTTGCTGGTGTTTTTGCAGAAAGTGTGGGCCAGCTGACCGAGATTAGGTGTCCTTCCTTTACTGGACTGGCGCTGTGTCCTCTATCAACTAGCAAAAGTTATTCGTAAAGGCACTGAAGAGCAGAGGGAGCAGAGAGGAATCCTGAACGATGCTGTTGAAAATGTTTGGTGAGAGGGGGGGGGGGGGGCGGTCTCTTAACTTGGTGATATTTGGAGATGTTGAGACATCCGGGTTATCAGTGGTCTTGCCATCCCGCGGATAGCTTCATAGGTGGGCCGGAAGCCAAGAAGAGTCAGTTTGCCGCCACAGCCGCCTGCTCGAGAGTTTGGAGCGGTTTATCATATCGCAACAATTCCTGGAGTCGAGTAAACACAACAACGAAATGCCTCAACGGCCATTGGCCGATAAGATATGGCCGGAAATGTAGGCTGCACGGCTCTCGCCGGGTGACGGAGACGGAAACAGTGCTGGAACGGCACGATTGGGCGGCTTCAGGAAAGCTAACTGTAGAACTGCTGGTGCACAGCCTGCTCGGCAATTTTGACCCGGCAGGCACGATCGACACTGGGCAGTGACCTGAAAGCAAGGAATGGTCCCTCGATTTTGACAGTAAGATCTATTGATGCGTCCAGAACAAGGGCATGCCTGAAAGATGCAGGCCAGAGTTGACGAGATGGCAATGCATCGTGTCGATGGTGCCAAAGCGGAGTCAGGCAGGTGGCCAGCATATCCCATCCTTACCGCCGGCCAAAGAGCTGCCCACGTGAAACACGATGGTCCGCAACCCCGTGAGCCTGGGTGGCGCCAGTGAAGGAGGGCAGGCTCCTTGCGTGGCCCGTGCTGTGAATGTGAGGTGGCTCCCCTGGCTGGCTGATCGCCCGTCGCACGCGGACCCACACCCACGAAACAGGCGCGGAGGTGGTCAGGTGGCGTCTCAGGGTTAACTCTGCGGCTTGCTGACCCCCAACATTTGAGCCAATGTGTTTGCTATATAGATACTGATATCTCAGTTTATCACGACCATGTAGCAGCCAATCAACTTCAAATAAGCTCGTATAGGTCATTTTCAAATAAATATCACAGCAGCGAAGGAATTACCTTTGTGTAGGAAGTGATTAGGCTGATACATAATTATCATGCAAGGAAGATATGCTTCCTGCTCAGACTGCTTAAGATGCTGATTATTGTTGAAGTATTTCTCCGGCACGTCGGTGTGGTTTTTTCTGGTCATGCAATTAACGCATGAGGAAATAGTTATTGCAGTTTGGCAGCTTTTGTGCACAATGCAGCCATTCCATTTATTTTCTATTCACTCACTTTTCCTTTTCAGGTCAGATATTTCGAATGATACATTGGTCAACTAGCCGTGATTCCGTCGCCGCCAACTAGTGCTCATAGAGCATTGAGACTGCCACGTAGCACGCGCTGTGCGGCGTCATCGGCACTTCATCAAAATACCAAACGAGCAAGGTCACAAAATGTCCAGCATGTCGTACCACATTCCGAATCTCCTGGACAAGGTGAGAGGCCAGCCAGTCTAAACCAATTCAGCGGTGCATGTTGATAGTAAAGCTCTGCTTGCTTGAGATCAGCTCAGCTTTCCAGTTTGAGCTGAGCTGATTGGCGGTTTTACAGAGCCTGTTCATAACTCTTAAGCTGGTTGTCTGTTAAGTGGTAGTTGTTACTGTAAACTGGGAATGGACATCAGTTTTACATTAAGTCTTGATTATATATGCTACTGGGGCCCATATGCGTGGGATGGAATATATTGGAAAAGTGGCTCATTGCTTGAAAGACAACTTTGGAAACACATTTATGGAAGAACAGTTTTCAGTGATTGCATTCACGATGATCTGTTTATCTTTTCAAGCTGTTTTTGTTGTTGAGATATTTCGCTTGTCAGAGATCTTCACTACCTGTTAACTTTCTTTCGTGGTTTTTCTTTGTCGCACCACCCGTAGATGACGTCTACAGACAAGGACCTGCGCTTCATGGCAACAAACGATCTAATGGTGGAGCTCCAGAAAGACAGTATCAAACTAGATGACGAGTCGGAGCGCAAGGTGGTCAGAATGATCCTGAAGCTGCTAGAGGACAAGAATGGCGAGGTCCAGAACCTGGCTGTGAAATGGTGAGTATATCCGGCCTGCCCGTTCCGTCGGGTGTCGTCGCGTAAAGCCATGCTTTGTGCAGTCGCTGGTCTTCTGGAAGTGCCCGTCCTATACGTAGCTTTAGGTGACGGAGGACGTGCCGCGTTTCAGCCTGGGCCCGCTGGTGGTGAAGGTGAAGGAGCTGCAGGTGGAGACTATCGTCGACACGCTGTGCAACAACATGGTGTCGGACAAGGAGCAGTTGCGGGATATCAGCAGCATCGCGCTCAAGACTGTCATCAACGAACTGCCGCCGGGCGCCAGCCTGCAGACCACCAGCGTGTGCCGCCGCACTATCGTACAGCTGTGTCGCGCCATCAGCATGGTCAGTGTCGCACCCGGCGCCGCCGCCGCCGCCGGTGCGCCGTGGGCAGGTTCATCTTCATCTCCCACATCATCAACATCTCCCGCACCATTGTCCTGCCCTGCCGGGAGTGCCCTGTGCCAGCAGAGTCCAGTCGTACGCGATGTGGTTCTTCCCATGCGGCTCTCTTATTCACCCCGTGCCGCAAAATTATCCTCACATAGTCAGAATCCTCATGATATTGTCAGTTTAGGTTGCATATCGTCATTATGCACACACGCGGTCAACATGCAACGTGCATTATCAGTTTCTACCTAATACCTTCCGCGTTTGCCCCGTATCGACAGCATCCAGCTCGCATCGTCAGTATCCATCTTCGCATGCTTTAGTCTTCCCCCACGCCGTCATTATGTTCCTCCATGTCGTCAGTGTCATACCTCACGTCGTCGGTCCCTACGCGTTACGTCAATGCTCGCCCCACTTCTTCAGTATCCATCCCACATCGCTTTTGTCCACCCCGCATCGTCAGTATCCAATCCTGCATCATCAGCGTCCACTCCGCATCGTCAGCGTCCACCCCGCATCGTCTGTGTTGGCTGTTGTCGTCGGCATCCAACTGGGCATGGTCAGCACGCGCCCGACGTCGCCAGGCGACGGATGTGTCGGTACAGCTGGAGGCGCTCGACATCCTGGCCGACATGCTCTCCCGCTTTGGCTCGCTGCTGGTCAGCTACCACGCCAGCATCCTGGAGGCCCTGCTGCCACAGCTCTCCTCACCGCGTCTGGCCGTCCGCAAGAGGTGGGTCTCCGTGCAACTGGTCCGCCATGTCTCTGGCCTGGCCGGGCTTGTCCGGTCTGCCCGGGTCTGCCCGGTCTGTCCGATCTGTTCGGATTTCGAGTCTGTCCGGTTTTCCCGGTCTGTTCTGTCTGTTCGGGTCTGCCAGACTTGCTCGGGTCTGCCCGGTCTGTCTGGTCTGTCTGCTTTGTCGCTCTGTCCGCTCTGTCTCCTTTGTCTGCCGGTCGTGGACTGGTGCGGACAATGAGAGGTGTTCCTCTACTTGACTTGCGTGCTCAGATGGCCCTAGAGCGCGCTGGACCATTTTCGTCCAGCCTGTCCTCTGCGTTCTTGTCTGGGGGTGTGTGACGCGGTCAGGGTGTCTGCTTGGGGAGCGGGAGGCGCTGCGTCACCTCTCACGGACGCTTGGTTGGGCAGGACGATCATCGCTCTCGGTCACCTGGTGCTCAGCTGCAGCATCGACCTCTACAGCAAGCTGATCGACCATCTGCTCGAGTGCATTCAGCGCAAGCAGGACAACTCGGCTACCCGCACCTACATCAACGCCGTGGCCGCCATCAGGTGAGCCGGGAACTTTGGGAACAGGGTAGGACGCGGTCAAAGGCCGCCGGACATAGGCTCTGCCACGCGGCTGGGCATTCGTGTGCTTTTCGTTTAGAGTAAGTGAAGATTAGTACGCTGCTAGCGTCGATCAGAGGGTAACCATTTTTGCCCTCAGTCCCAAGAACGTCCCAATTTCAACACGGAGACGAGCATCAAAGGCCGCCTTGGCCATCCTCCAGGCGTTCTGTTTGTGTGCGGTGGGAGTGACCCGGCCGCCGCCCCCAGCCGCGGCGCGGGACACCGATTCGGCGAGCACCTGGAGCGCGTGCTGCCGCTGGTGGTGGGCCACTGCCAGGTGGACGACGACGAGCTGCGCGAACACTGCCTGCAGGCGCTGGAGGCGTTCGTGCACAAGTGCCCCAAGGAGGTGACGCCCCACATCGGCACGGTCAGTGGCACACGGAGCGCCACCGGGCGCTGCTGCTGACGCTGTGGGATTGGCGGGACACAGTCGCTATTCGCTGGGCTGGCCACAGTCGCACAGTCGCTGGGCGCACGATCTTTCACACATGTTTGCTTTGCTGGAAGTCGTGCCTCGTACCTCTGTGTTTAGCGCTGGAAATTAAAGCATCTTGTCGGTATCTGCCGCGGCAGCTGCTTTATGGTACTCTCAGCTGCCTTTGCTTTAGAAGCGCCGTGACTGACACCGTGCAGTGACG